AATGGGATTAGTAAATGCTCCAGTTGCAAGGTAACACATAGCCCTGAATGGAGGAAGGGTCCTAGTGGCAAGAAGGATTTGTGCAATGCGTGAGTGTATTTTTCTATCCGCAGCTAGAAACATCTCCCGTGATTTTTCTCTGACATGATGCTTGATTTTTTTAGATGCGGGCTTCGATACGCTCGCTCTCGAGCAAAGAAGGAAGGAGCGACACAAAGGCGTAAGAAAGATCGAGTGTTGAGTGCAATGTCGACTACGTCTCAGACGGCGACCTCTGAGCATTCACCTTCTGCTTCGCCCGTAACCGTCCCATATTCTGGTCTCAGGAGAAGTAGTTTATATGACGACTCATCTTTCATGTCAACGTCTTCCGCAGGGTCGGCTTCAGGCAACGAACCATTCCCTCACCATGCCAACTTTGACGGGATGACACCTTCTCCTTCACCTCCTTCTGGAGGCGGTGGAGGACCAGTCGGATTCCTTCCTTACTCCTATCACCCATCTCATCATTCTTCTACCAATGATCAACGTGCAGGAGGTGCTTATACCACGACAGCATCAACAGGAGGAACATCGTTTTATTCCATTCCTCCGCCCAATCAAAGTCATTCTTTGCATAATCACCACCAATCTCGTTTGGATCCTATCTTGCCATACCCTGGATCTAGACTTTCACCTATCCTTTCACCACCATCTCCTGCTGATTCTGAATCACCGATGAGTGCTAATTTTCCAAACTCGGCGTCGTTCGAGAGGGAAAGGCATGATTATGCGAGGGATACTACTAGGATGGGGAGAGGCATGGTTCCTACGCCTGATCCGTTGGATGTTAGGTCAAGGCATCCTGGGTACCTTTCGTGAAGTGGTCCACAGGATATACGAAGACAACTTTGGATCACCAACCACATGCAAGATTTTTCGCTTCCTCGCTCTCTACATCCATCGTAGCATTCCATTCAAAATCTCAGAGCGACACCTTGTGATATCGGACAGTATCAGGTTCATCCTTTTTTTTCTTTTTTGCCCTTGCCTCCTATTATTTGGGACGTTGATTGAATCATGATGGTGCCATGCCATGATTGTATTTTTCTTTTTCGTTCGATTGTCAGAATGCCGCCTTCCCTTTTTAACCCGTTTGCGGATGGCTTTTACTTTTTTTTCCGTTGCAGACATGATCACATCTTCTCGATTGGGGTTACTTTGTTGTTTTCGTTTTTTCCATGTGTGTGTTCGATGCGCAGTCAAAAAAGAGTCGTCGTCTTTTTCTGACTGACTTCCTTTTGAGCATATATTTATCCTCTCTTCGATTCTTTCAACCCTTCTTAACACCCCCTCACACCCCTTCGAGTCCTCCAGGTCTCATCACTTGAATCTATCCCAATGCAACGTTGTTTGTCTTTTGTCTGATTACTTTACTTCGCCTATCGCTGCAGCATGGCACTTCTTACACTTCTGTATCAGCGTATCGTATCGTATCCTCCTCCACTACTCTGTGTTTTTCCGGGGGTTTTGTGTTTGTTTGTTTGTCTTTTTTATACTTTTTCTTTCTTTCTCTATCTCTTTTCTTTCTGGCTGTATACTGTATTAAATTCTTGATAGATAAAGCGTATGGTATCGTCGTATACATGTTTTTTTACATACTCTTTCGTATAAGTTTTAACATTTTACTACTATGATGGAATTCAAATCATCTTTTGCCCTTAGACTTGTTTTTTTTTCCTCGATCGAAAAGAAATGCTTTCCGAAGTCCGACTTAGGATCTTATGTTAGATCCGTCATTTCATATTCGCACACAATAACACACACACACGCGGGCGCAGTTTCTCCATTACACTGTCATAATATGGCATGGCATAGCCATATGTCGAGAATTTTTACTTTTGTCTTTTCTTTCCAAGATCGATCGAGCAATCATGATGGATGGAAACATTCGAAAAGGAGGGACAAACAAACAAAGGCTAATCATCACACAACGACAATGACAATTACCCCACATATATGATTGAACAAACCAACACTCCGGTCATAAGGTAGATTTAATCTCCGTTATCCTCAGATTCACATTCTGAATCGTCATAAATGAAATCTCATTGTTCCCTTTGTTCCTATGGATCCTTGTTTCCCGATTTTTCGGATATTCCGTTCTTTCTGACAATGACATATGAAAAAACGAAAACTTGGAAAGAAAAGCCATCCTTGAGGAATCGTTTTTCTTGGAAAGGGAATTTTGGTAAACCACCCCGATGCATGATTCGCTAGACTAAACATATGTCATATGTGTTGGGTTCGTTCGGGTAATCATGAGTAGGTAGGTTTGGGTTTTTTTGACCCTGTAGGCTGTTGCTGCCAAGACTCGGACCCTGCGCTTTGGAAACTTTCTTTTTGTACGAGTACATGTTTTCGTTGATGGATGTGTGTGGGCGGTTTGTTTTCCAACTGTAATATTTGTTGGTGTGCATATGAGGATTCCAGTGGGAAAGCATCAAATTTTGAGAAACGATTTCACGGGCGTACATATGGTCAAGAGTGGACATCAGATTCCAGCAAAGAAAAGCTAGGGAACAATCCGTCGTAAGCCAAGCTCTGCCTATAAAACTCGGAGCTTCTCATCCTCGATCGTGTTTACTAGTGTTGGACAGATGCCCGAGTGAGACGCGTATTTAATTCACGTGATTGGAAAATGCCGAGAACAAGCCGAGAATTCATGATGAAGTCATTTTCGAATTCTGGGATCCCCTTTACTACGACCACGGACTTTTACAGTCTCAATAACTTGGACTACCTTGGACTTACATTGGCGTCTTGTTTTGAAATATGGCTGAAGAATCAACTCAACCGACTTCTGCTGAAGTACATAAAGAAGACGAAGGAAAGGTTAACGAGAGCGGCAGTGCACCAAAGTAATGCATGATATTGTCCTCATCTCATGATCATCTTTCTGATTCTCAGAATACTTTCATTATTCAATGACTTCTTTTCATTGAATTTGTAGGGAGAAATCTGCTCGAGTAGCTGTTGTCGCCCAATCACCTCCAGCGGATGGAGATACCACAGATGAAGAAGAGAATGAGGAAGAAGAAAGTGAAGTCGACGATTCTGAAATCTTATCCGATCTCCCTGACGATATGGATGTAAGTTCACAACTCCCTTTTCATTCACTCACTCAAAACTACATTTGACTCCATGCATACTGAACTTCGGGCTTTTGGTTTCTCTTTGATGGTTAGGAAATCAATCTTATTCATTCAAGATTAAAATCTGTCAGCAATCTAGGGCTGACTAGGTTCAAAGCTCTTAAGAAACTCTGTCTTCGACAAAATTTTATCTCAACTTTGGATCCGGAGGTTTTCAATGAACTCACTGAACTTGAGGAACTTGATTTCTATGATAACAATTTGAAAGGAATCGGTCATGCTTTGGATAAGTGCACGAAATTAGGGTATGTACTGTACTACCCTCAGAGTTATGTTCTCAATTCAGATATGTATGATTCTTTTTGTCAGTGTTCTCGATTTGTCATTCAACGTCGTACGGCATATCCCCGACGCCTTTGAACATCTCAAATCTCTGCACACGATATACTTCGTCCAAAACAAGATTTCACACATAACAGGGCTTTCACCCTTAGGAGCTACTTTGAGAAGTCTCGAGTTAGGTGGTAATCGAATACGAGTGAGTATATTTCAACCGATGGCGGAGACTCAACAATGAATATGATTGGATTAACTTGAAATTTAGGTGATTGAAGGGTTGGGTGATCTCGTTAATTTGGAAGAGTTATGGTTAGGAAAGAACAAAATCACGAAACTGGAGGTACGTCTCTGTCGTCGCTCTATTCACTGATTTGTTCAGGGTGACTTTGCTAAATGCACGTTCATCAGAACTTGGAGAATCTGAAGAAACTGAAGATCCTTTCTATTCAATCGAATCGAATCACTAAACTTGAAGGACTCGAGGGTCTTGAAAATTTAGAGGAATTATATCTCAGTCATAACGGTATCGAGAGAATAGAAGGACTTGAGAAAAACGTGAGTTTACCCCACTGTCTACGTTCATCCTTCAGTATTCCCTTTGTTTGCGTATCCGTAGGACTGAATCATCTCGGGTTTGTTTTGTCGAACAGTTGAAGCTTCGAACGTTAGATATCGGTGCCAACTTCCTCAAAGAAATCGAGAACGTTTCTCATCTTCATGAATTGGAAGAACTTTGGGTATTTCTATCATTATTAATTACCCCTGTGCATCATTCGTTACTGATAGGTACTCTCGAATTGTAGATCAATAATAACAAGATAGAGACCATCCAAGCTGTAGAACCTCAACTGAAACATATTTCAACTTTAGAGACTGTTTATCTAGAAGGAAATCCTTGTCAAGCAAAGGAAGGTGTACATTATCGACGGAAGATTATCCTTGCGCTTCCGCAGTTGAAACAGCTAGATGCGACGTATGTCCATTCTAAATTCTTGTTTGCTACTGTCAATTATTCTGATACATCTTTAAGATATGTTAAACTGGTCTGATCATCATCACCACACGTCCCTATTCCACGATTCGACAAGGAACCTAAACATCCATGCAGGATAATTGAATGTCAGGCAATAGATGGGTTTGTACTCTACATTATCCTTTCGTTCACGGGTATGGTCTGATTGTCAGGTTTATAGCTTTCCCGCTTCAATTCTACGACTCCTCAACGTTTTTAATCCTCCCTGGTTCTCCCCACACTCTCTTTACTTACTACCCCGAATGAATGTTACGTGTGTAAGGTTTGACTACCTGCTTACTGGAGTTCCGATATCTTGTACTACTACTTATTTGTTCAATGACGTTATTTAATCGTTTTTCTCATACTTATAGACTCGGAAAGGAACATTTGACGACTTGAAACTTCGAGAATTAAAAAAACAGATTACCATAGCAATTGCAACGCAAAGTATACATGTTCAGGATATAGATATTGCATGGAAACAAAAATACAGCTCTCTCAGAAATACATACTGCATTAAGAGGGAATCGAACCCCCGGCGGGTCGAGCTTGTATTGCTCTGATGGCAACGACCCAGGTTACCACTACCCCATTAATGCGTTGTACATCTTTCAATATCAAATTATATCATGTCCTTTCGAAAGATGAGTGTTGAAACACGATCGCACCACCATCAGAATAGACTATTTGTTCAAGTTGACAGTCATGAATGCCACTTTCAGGTCTAACGAAAACTGTAGATAGCAGCTCCAGAAAAGCTAGGTGAAATTCCTAGCTCCTCTACCGGCTCCGAAACGTCCACAGCTAGACTGGGGAATGAAAAGTATCCCTCCGAAAGGGTCAAGCAAAATGAAGCAAAATGAATAGAGGTTAGTCTACTATCTTGAACTTTAAAGACATTAGTAGACTTCCATGACATTTTACCAAATGCTAGATAGTGAACATGCTGAAGACTCGGAACAGTTTCTCCAAACAGTGATATCCACCAGCGGTATCCGTAAACATATCCAACATCATGGCATTGAAATTTAAGCAATGACACAACCACCGACACATCCTACACCATGACCGTCTTGAGAACTCTGACGAGTAGGGCTTCGACTTCTCGACCTAGAGAAGCTAGGACTCCTGGACCTGGATGGACTAGGACTTCTGGACCTGCCTTTCTCATGATCATCGGCAAGGTAAGAACTAGGAGGAGATGGTGGGGTATCATGATGAACATAATTGGGTTCTCCCTTATGGAAAACATCCCGCCCATTGCCTAAAATATGTGGATGCACCTTAGCTTGTTGAATGATGTGTGGAATGTTTGGAATAACGGGTGAACTAGGTCGATATGACTGTATATGGCGTGGATCTGAGGGGAAAGGCGGTATTCTCACAGAGTGAGGATGACCACCACCAGATTGCCCTCGTTGGACTGCGTAAGAATTCGATCTTTGTGGACCGTGGTTCACAGTACTATGATAATTGCTACCAGGATGTCCTGAATAACCTGATAGAGAACTGGCTCTTGAGCGACCGTGAGCCTTGGACGACTTCGGAGGTCTGGACTGTGGTCGGTTGCTGCTACGACCGCGAGTATTGCTTCCTCGTAAATGGGATATGTCTGGGATCACCGGGACATGACCGGGAGGAGGTGGTGGCGGTGGAGGAAATAATGGAGCATGACTGTCGTGATGAATGTTTAACGCATGAGCTACGAATAAATTGACGGAAGGTGAGTAATTGATGTTTTTAAAACGGCAAATAAGACCCCTACGATTAGCCTGATACGAGCTTGTTCGACTCGTGCGCGGTCGACGACTAGTGGAACGGCCTCTTGATTCACTTCCATGGGCTCGTGGATATACAGTAAGAATGTGGTGAAGCATATGATCGTATTCCGGAGCTTTATGATTAGTGGAAATAGCCACCCAATAGACAAAGGGAGAGTCAGAGAGTCGCATATTATCTGTGTATATAATCAACTTACCGTTATTAGACCGTTCTATCAAGGCCTCAGTTCTGGGTATCAAAGTGACATGGAGATCAGTACCATAGTGAACCTCACCGACACGAAAACGTACTCGGTTGTGAACCCCATAACTCCATTGAAAGAGAATACTGTCAACTGAGCAAGTGCGAGAACAAAAAAATGGCTTGCAAAGCGCATATTGATGAATCTAGTAACGATTAAACAATGAGTGCCCCAAGAATTGCCAAGGTCAAGTAGTTGCCTCACAAAGACAAGAAAGCGAAGCGAATATAGAGAAGGAGGTTGACCAGCAAATCCTGCCGTTCAGAGAGGAAGGATAGGTAGAAATTTATAGTAGAACGGTGAAACACGTATATTCTCAAGTGAGGTATAGCGGCGACGCTCATCCTCACAAGATACTTTCCACGTTCCCAATCGATATTCCAGCGCAGTTTTCGTCAACAAGCTAGTCGATTGAACAACGGTCAAGTATATCATTGACGCTTTCAACGATGGCCTGAGACCGTAAAATCCAGGGTTGATGAACAATGGCTGTGTAACGACAATGTAAACCCGAAGTATTGATGGTGACATGTTGACAAGGACTGAAGTTCTCATAAAATCACCAAGTCTAGAGGTATGAAAATCCCGACTCGGTCTTAAGACTTGTTATTGTTGTCAAAAAACACCTTTTTCAGTTGTTTGAGCAAGGAGAAACCTATCTTTCATCGGAAACAATGATCAAAAATTGATGTTGCGAAGCCACAGATGAAAAGGCTCACCTGAAAGAATATATACTGCGCTCAAGTTGTGTTAAAAGCAGTTCAAACGGGAAGAGAACAAAGACTCCGATTTCAAAAAGTCAGAGAGACAAGGTCACCATCATTGATGGGAACTCGGGATGGGTCTGTTATTGACTTTGGTCTACCAGCTCATAATGCATAATTCGCGAACGGAATAGGGATTGAATATCACGATACCAAAACAAACTACACGGCATGGTCGCGTTCTATAAAACCTGCAGTCGACATTAGAGTCTTTCAAATACGTATCAGATAAGTTGGACACGCACACTTAAGGACCCTTCCATGTTTGTCATTCCTTCCACAATTCTGAGGGTTATAACATTCCCCCATGATCGTCTAAAGAATGTTGTCAATCAAGCAATTATACAACCTATACATCCTGAACCGTGCCCATCTTGGGAACCCTTACGCGATCCGCTGTGAGCCTTATAACTAGGTGGGGAGCCGCTGCTCTTGTAACTCGGTGGTGGTGGTGGTGAGGCGCGACTCCCAGAACTATGAATCGTGGTGTGACTCTTGGAACTAGATGATATGGTAGGACTCTTCGAGCTATGTGCCATGGAATGACTCTTTGAACGAGATGCGGTGGTGCGGCCCCTAGAGCCGGATGCGGTGGTACGACTCTTGGAACTGGATGCTGTTTTATGGCTCCTGGAACCGGATGTTACGGAGTGACTCCTCGAACTGGTTGACCCGTGATGTTTGTAACTGGGCGGTGGCGAAATGTGGCTTTTAGAACTGGGTGAAATGGGGGGTGGAGTAGGAGTCCGAGGCCTAGAAAACTCCGTAGGACCAGATAGATATGTACTCGGTGGTGATGCCGGAGAATCAGGGAGATGATAGCGGTCACCTGGAAGAAACGTATCACGAAAAACAGGTGCATGGACTTTGTGATTGAATACCATGGCTTGAACATTTGGGATAACTGGAGAACCGGGACGATATTCTTTAATCTGCCTTGGATCGGTGGGCATGGGCGGAAGCCGCATAGGAGAATAATTGCTACTGCTACCAGCAGTGCTTGGATGAGCTAAATGATAGCTCGCCTGAGCGTGATCATGACTGAATGCACTATGATGATCGCTACCAGCATGGCTCGAAAGCATCGAATTCGAGTGCACTGAATTATGATAGGCCAGGCCAGGATTGCTTGAATAAGATGAACGAGAATTCGAGTGTAGAATCGGAACAGTTTCGCCAGGTATAACTGCGATCTGCCCTGATCGTGGCCCTTGAGGTTTTGGGAATGGGTCGGGGGTATAGCCAGGGCTCCGCGGATATACAAGGTGATAATGCTGAAATTCTGCCCCATCATGATCCTTCACACGGGGTAAAGATGAGGGGAATTTCGAAGACATAGAATCTACAAGTATTGTGATATGAGTGAAATGTTTGATTACGTAGGATAAAACCGCGCAGTACCAGCTTACCTTTATAAGATCGCCGAAGCAATTCTCCTGCTCTCCTGCTGCTTGCAAATTTCCGATGAGCTTCTGAGGATACAACGAGAGTAGTGCCAGTACGTACTCAGTTGACAACCCAAAGACCAAGCCTGGGTACACAGCTGTAGTTGCCAAGTGACTCAGTATGAAAACAAATAGATGACTTTCGAAGCGCATGATTGAGGACCTATGGATGATAGTAAATTAACAGTAAGTCAGCTTCTCTTGAACTTATATACACTCGCATAGCTCAAGTAGCGACTCACAAGATGATAACGTCAAGTGAATGTGGGCAGGAAAACGACCAGCAAATCCTGTCTCTCAAAGGAAGCCAACTCATCCAATTTATGGTAGGAAAGTCAGGCCTAAACCCTTCGAAGTGAGGTATCATCACCACGCTCGTACCCTGCAAACTCTTCGCGAGTGATATTCAAAGACCCTGGCTTGTTGTTTCAATGTGACGTTTGTTGGGAAGTTAACTTTGTAAACAGCCATCGACATCGGAATGTCAGTTCGATCGGTTGACGATCTCAACAATACCCTTAGGTCGAAATCGGAAAGTCCATGAGTTTGACAATGGATGCGACGGCATAGATACGATGCAACGGATTGTTTACTGCAAGTAGTCGAAGATGTGTTGAAGAACATGGGGAGCACTCTTAATATGTAGAAGTCCATTTTGTGATGGTGGAGACTTGCTTACTACTGATGACTGCATCATAAACCTAGGGTTTAACAGCAGATGCTGTGGAAAATCTTGATTTCAGCTGTCGACGAAGCTTGCCGTTTCAACTGAAGAACTCACTAGGATTCTGAAACTTGCCATCCGAAGCAACTCAACTGAAAGGGAGTAGAGGGACAAGAAGCAAACATGGACCCTTCAGCCTTCCTGCAATTTATGGAAGCCACAGCTGGCCGCACCTGATGTCTTTGGTACGATAATTAATTGAAACTAAAGAAAAGAACTCGTCAATCTACATACACAAGAATCTTCAGTCCAGCAGAGTTAGAAACGATAAAAAGAGGTCATGAGACGATAACTTGACTATGGACACATGAATTTGAATGATTGAAAAAAGGAGAGATAAACATTAGACGGCGAGGAGGAAAAAAGGAGAAGAATAAAGTCAAGGAAGGATAGAGAATCACGTAATCCAGCGTTTTAATGATAAAGATGCGTACTATCACGGCAGCCTTGGTCTGCTTGGACTGCAAGGGCGCCCTGAGGCCGATGAGTATGCAAGACGACAGCGAGGGGATGGGTAAAAGGGGTAAAATCCAGAGCGTCAGAGTGAGGTATGATGCTATAATGCGAACGATACGTGGCTTTGAATTTGCAATGTGCGGGTATAGAAGTAGCGTATGAGAGTAAAATGTAATGACCGGATGGG